TTGTAAAAAAATTTTTTTTTTAATTAAATGGTAAGAGATGCTGAAAAACGTTTTTTTTTTCTTAAATTTCCGTGATATAGTCCTTTCAGGTGTAAAGTTTCAGCCCATTCTGATGCCTCCTTCCACTTATATCAACACATGTCCACAATGACTATTTTCATATAAAAATGCAAGAAAAACTCGGTTTTCTCGAAATGAGTAACCGGTACAGAAAAACCGATTTCATTTTTGAAATTAGAGGGGCATAATACTTCTAGGTGTGAAGTTTCAGCCAATTCTGACCACTCCTTCTATTTTTGTCCATCATTTGTATGGAGTCGCGGCACTGTGCACCGTGTAGACTTTTATAGGATCTTTGCAAAGCAAAGGTTTTATAGCAATGAATGGTATCTAGACACACAACATTACAAGTTGATAAAAGCGTGGTAAAAATAGGTAGAAGCCATTTTGATGTTGCTCTCATGATAACCAAACCTTTAAATTTCAACTTGATTTATTTTCATTTCATATATTTCGTTACCCTTGGTGAATAACTCAGTGAGAGGGGAGACCAGTATGTTTGCATGTATGTATATAAAAAAAAATATTTATTGGACCAAAAAGTAGTGGGTAAGCACTGTGGCCAATGGTAATCAACTATTACCACCTCCGCATGGTTGTAAGCCATGCAGAGTCCGCAGAATGCTCCGGAAGCAGTGTCCGGAGGATGCATCCGACTAGGCAGAGCATACTTTGAACTGCCATCAAATTATAACTTAAGAAAGTTTTATTACATGGCAGTTGAGAAGTGCATGTACATAAATATCATTAATTTAATGAAGGAAATTTTTGCACATGCAGCAGTACATAGCATGCATTTAGGCGCCTGGTGTTAGCAGTCGCGTCTAAACACTTGGAAATGACATGTCGTTTTATTTTGAACTTTCGTTAATGGAAAATTTATTTTACTCTTGAATTTAAGCAGTGTTGTGCGGTTTAAACTTATGTAATTGTGCGATTTATAACAATATGGAATGTGTAATAATTAATCCTTTTCTTAACTGTCTCAGGGCCGGTTGTTCAATGTCTGGTTATCACTACTTGCCGGTTAAACATCATTATTGACGATTTCGACATCATGCATATCGATAAAGCGGTCGTTGTATTTAACCAGAGCTTCTACCTCCGATTTGTGCTAATCAGACATTGAACAACCGGCCCTCAATGTTTTTCGTGATAGGCGCGTTGAGAAAGCAGCTATGGCGTAGAGCTTAAGGCCTAAGTGCACTGGGAGGTCCAGTATAAGCCAGAGCTGTAAAAGTAACGAAAATTTGGATATCCGTATGTATTCGTTACTAATCCAATCAACACCTGTATCTTTCGTATCGCTACTTTCCTCGTTACTTTTAATACAAGTACTTGTACCTCACACGTATCATCGAAACGAATCTTGCAGCATAGACTGCTTTTACACAGTTCAAGTATTGAATTCAATTCTGCTCACATGTGGAAGAGAGGGGGTGAGAAGAAAAGGGACGATTACACATGCGTCTGTACCGTCAAGTCGTTTCAGCTTTCTTGCTTTGCTTTTGGCATTTTCGTTGTTTCCCATTTAAAGAACCAAAAACTTGAATTCAAGAAACGTGCAAAAGCAAATAGAAAACGCAAAAGAGAATGAGCAAGAATTGCTTTTAAGTACTTGCATCATGTAAATCGCGTGATAAGGAAATGTTCGTTTGTATGTATATATGCATGCATGTACGTATGTAGTTACATATACACGCAACGCACTTAAGTATCGTTACGAACAACACTCGTTCCCGCACAATAGTATTTATGTATGTTGTGTTGTATTGATTCACGTTAATGGGGCATATACGGAAAATGCGAGTAACGAGATTATTATGTGAGTAACGATTCGGTGATTCGAGGCAGGGGTTGTACCCGTTACTCAGTAACGAATACATACGGTTTGCTACAGCTCTAGTAAAAACACGTTTGTTGCCAAGAGGTGTTCCTATGACCCTAATGCCGGCTAGACCCTCCAGCAACACTGCAACAAGTTCTGATAGCTTAATAAACGTTAAACAAATTTACATCAAACAAAATAAATACATAAAAATAATCTTAAAATTTACTTAAAAACTACAGTTGTCAGACGTACTGATTTTATCAGTACGTACTGATTTTTCAACTCTTGTACTGAATTTATTCATTTCTTCAATCAGTACGCTAATGTCTTGATTTTTGAAAATTTGTTCTGATTTGTACTGAATTTTCAATTCAAACAAAATACTTTAGGATTGTATTAAGTTTTTTACATAAAGCTTAAATTATTTAAAAAGAAGCCTGACGTTTTTTGTCGAGTGTTGTTAGTTATCTCGAAAATATCTTTCAGTTTCAAGCAGCAAATTTGAATATTCGAATGGTTTTTGCGTATAACTTAAGCTGCCTTTAGATGAGGCGATTATTCGACAGGCGCCTGATCGCCTGCAAAAGTTGACTTGCTGTCTACTTTGAGGCAAGCGATTTTTCTATCACCATTTACACTAGCGATTTTTCTTGAGCAATGTTGAATCGCTTAGAAAATCGCCTCATGTTAATTCGGCTTTAAATTTGTTTTCTCTTTTTACTGACATTGTAAAAGAGTTTTGCAAACCAGACATAGAGTTAGACACTCTTTTTAGCGAATTCTTAGTCTTTCCATGAGGAAATATATATGAAGTCCTTAGGTACTTTTCCACAGTTTGAAAAAACATGTAATTTAGTTTTTTTCATTACCACTCCACACCCAACTGAGAGGATCTTAAGCATAAAATTTGCTTCCTGGCGCAAAGAGAGAAACTGGCTTCAAATAAAATCTTTGAAACTTAACTTCGAATTAGAAGTAATTTTAAAATGAAATGTATAGAGTTCTTTGGCTATTTAAACACTGAAAATGGAAATGGTCTCATTATTGCTATTCAATTTCAATTTCAATTTATTTCAATATTAAATATTAGTACAGTAAGACCAAATCTTTTATAGCACAACAAATAAATTCAATACAAAGACATACATTAATACATATAATTAATTAAATCACATATACATACATAGGTTAACAGAGTTTAACTTTAAATATAAGATGGTTCATCAATTTTTAGAAAAGTAGCTATATAAAATATTTTTGAAGTTGCTTTTATTGATCTTGCTTCTAATTGCAGCGTGAATTGAATTCCAGATTCGTATAGCATTGATGAAAAATAGTCTAGTAGAATTCTTAAAGTTAAATAAAGGCACCATTAGATCACAGGAACGCTCAGACTTTGGAAAAATTAACTTCTCATAAAGATAAGGTGGGGTCTTTGTGCTGATAAGTTTAAAGAGAAAGACGCAGTTTCGTGCTTTTAGATAATCAGTGATATCACATCCTAACAAGCTACATCTCCACGCAGATATATGGTCAAACTTCCGCAATCCATATTCATAACGTGTAATTTGGTTAAATAAGGTGACAATCTTATGTGATGACCTGGAATCAAGCTGACTATAACCCACCTCAGCATAAGTAACAATGGGTAAAATTAATTGACGCGCAAATCGGAACAAACGTGACGTGGGAATCGGAACAAACGATGCCGATTGCCTTAGATTTCTTAGATGTCATAAATATAAAATAATTTATTGGCTCCTGTGTACAGTGATGTGTGCACTCATGTTAAAGTGAATAACGTTTTTATTTTTTATGAACTATATTTTATTTATATATCTGAATATTATTAAAAACAAGTACTCTGGCGCTTTAAAGTATTATCTGTTACTTACATTCATAATTTGGCTTTGAATAAAAGTGTACTGGAAAATACTGATTTTTTAGCATGAAAAAGTCTAACGTACTGATTTCACGCATAAAAAATCTGACAACCCTATTAAAAACGCCAGCCAGTGAAACTTAGTTTATATATATTGGCGTTTTTTTCTCGAAATAATGTTGCCCTGTTTTCCTCAGCCCTTTCACAGCTTTGCGTGTTAGTTTCTCAAAACCTTACCCTCCGGCTAAGCAAAAGTGCAAAACTTTCTACTAACATAGCCATTTTGCAGGACGAAAAGTAACCTAGTGCAAATGTTACAATATAAGAAGACACAATTTTTTAATAGAAAATAAAACGCCATAAGTTTGTAATTGATTTCTTTCTTTATTGAAATAATACTATCATGACTTCTGATGTAAAGCCCCTGCAAGACAGCTGAGCATCAAATAAGTGCTCANATTGATTTCTTTCTTTATTGAAATAATACTATCATGACTTCTGATGTAAAGCCCCTGCAAGACAGCTGAGCATCAAATAAGTGCTCATTTTGTCATTATCACTAATTACAAAAGTGCTTATTAAAATACTAATTTTTGTTCAGGCGATGGGATAAAACTGAGCACTTACCCCTTGTTGGTGTAATATTTTACCTCTTCTTACTAATTGAATACTTTGATTAATGAAAAATATATCTGCTCTGCTCTAGAAACTACCAAACTGCTTATTTGTGTTTTTATAAACACATCAGTGCTAATGAATAAAGTACTCATTGTTGTCATTAGCAAGTCCTCAGTGCTAATAAACAAACTACTCATCGTTGTCGTTATAAACTCCACAGCACTAATAATCAAATTACTCATTTTTGTCGTTATAAACTCCTCAACACTAATAATCAAACTACTCATTTTTGTCGTTATAAACTCCTCAGTACAGGAAAAAACAAATAAGTAGAAAATCAAAATTTTTACTTTTAAAAATGAATTGGTTTATTTAAAAAACGTTTATTAATACAAAACTCTTATAGTACATATGTGCAAACAAATAACATACTTTGTACATATCGATGGTCCTGTGCAATAACGACACAATTCAAAATTCAAAAAACAAAACCCTTACTACTGTTAAGTGGCTGATATATCTATCTAATCCATGTCGAATCCATGTCTAATATTTAGTACTTACTTTAGCAATCCTTACTGCTTACTTTATAAAAGGTTGGGAATGGATTAGACGAGGATTACAGACAAGAGCGACTTAACAGTAGTAACAGTTTTTATTTTTTGAATTTTGAATTGTGTAGTTATTGCAGAGGACCATTGATGTGGATGTGTATAACATTGCTGGTGCAGGCGTTGAAGGTGATGTTGGTGGTGGCCTTAAAGTAATAGTGGCGATGTTGAAGGTGATTTTGCTGGTAGAGGCGTGGAATGTTGATGGTGCGATTTTGCTGGTGCCGGTGTTGAATGATGATGGTGGCGATACTTCTGGTACCGGTGTTGAAGGTGATGGTACGATGTTGGTGGTGGCATTAAAGGTGATGGAGGAGGTGCGTGCGATATCAGCTGGTGACGGCATTAAAGATGATGGTGGGTTTTAATTTTAATTGTTGCAAATCTGTAATAACGAGAAAATCAATTAAAATGCACAAGTTAAGTAATTTACATATGTATGTACATACCTTAAAAATAATGATGCAAAGTCGACGGCAACGGCAACGGGAACATAAAATGAAATTTGAAATATCTATAAAATTATTAAAATTTTTTTATCAGATGTGACATTTTTCGACAAATCCTACTGTCATAAAAACTGCCATATTTCTTACTCGCTTTAACGCACAGAATTCCTATAAAAGTAGGAATTCCGCTCTAACAAATGAAAAATGTTTCACATTTCGAATACCAAATTTGTAAATGTGTGCGTGTGATAGCTAAAAAGTTGCGAAAGTGTGTGTAACGCTGTCGAATTTGAGGGGAAACTGCCCTGCCAGCCAAAAGTGGTAAAAAATCTGGTGAAACCGCGGGTTTCGGTCACTTCAAAACTGATGACATTTGTATGGGCGCTGTGCAGATTGTCACCACTTTCCCCCTGTACGTGTGAGCCTTGCATCACTGTCGCACTCATTCAGATACTTCGTAAGGAAAACATATAGCTGCACTCGTCTATCATTGCCCCCTTCTGCCGGCTCAGGGTTTCATTCTCTTCACAGCGAATTCAAAATAACCTTAGAAACTTTAAATAAAAAATCCTAAAATGTTTTGATTTTTATTTTGCAAACTTTATTTTAAAAATGCATAGTATACATACTTAATAACCAATATTATGAATAAAACTTGAAATTAACATTAATAAATATATTTTTACATACATACATATGCGCTGGCTTAATTTCTTATTATTAGTATTACTCATGTGCACATAGATGTTTAAAAAGTTGGAAAATTTCTATAATAAAGTTAAGCGATTTTAATAATATTATAATCAAAAGAAAGGTAATCGATTTATCTTTCTTTTGTTATATATTAAAAGTTGCAAATCATTTATAATGGTTCACAAAAATTCGGTTTCATTACAACTTTGCAAAATTTGATTGCGTTTTTTCGACTTATATATAGACGGTTTCTAAAGTTGGAAAATTTTTATAAAAAAGTTAAGCGATTTTAATAATATTATAATCAAAAGAAAGGTAATCGATTTATCTTTCTTTTGTTATATATTAAAAGTTGCAAATCATTTATAATGGTTCACAAAAATTCAGTTTCATTACAACTTTGCAAAATTTGATTGCGTTTTTTCGACTTATATATAGACGGTTTCTAAAGTTGGAAAATTTTTATAAAAAAGTTAAGCGATTTTTACAATATTATAATCAAATGAAAGGTAATCGGTTTACCTTTCTTTTGATATATATTAACAGTTGCAAATCATTTACACTAGTTCACAAAAAATCTGTTTTGTTACAACTTTGCAAAATTTTACCACTTTTCCACTGCTTATATATAGCTGTTTACAAAAGTTGCAAAGTTTTTATGAAAACGTAAAGCAATTTTAACGGTGTTATAATCAAAAGAAAGGTAATCGGTTTACCTTTCTTTTGATATATATTAACAGTTGCAAATCATTTATGGTGGTTCAGAAAAATTAAGTTTTCTTACAACTTTGCAAAATTTGACAAGTTGGACCTACACTTTGAAGGTGCTCCTGGCGTTGAAGGTGCTGAGGGCGGAAGGTACTCATGGTGCTCCTGGCGATGAAGGAGCTGAGGGTAGAAGGTACTGGTGGTGCTCCTGGCGATGAAGAAGCTGAGGGCAGAAGGTTCTAATGGTGCTCCTGGCGATGAAGATGCAAGCGTTGAAGGTGCTGATAGTGAATCTGTAAACAAGCAAAAATATCAATTAAAATTTATAAACATATAAAAAGTCTCAATACATACCTTAAGAATGTGACTAAGTCGCTGCTGTTTTGCAATCTAAAAGAAGAAATTACATTATAATTAAATAAAATTGTTAAATACGTATTCTTACCTTCAAAGTTTTCGTAGTGACATTTCTTCACAGTATGTATACTGTCATCAAAACTCTGATGTTTCTAACTTGCTCGCTCTAACGCATAGAATTCTTGTTATAGTACAAATTCTTATCGGGTGTGTAGCTCTAACAAAGGCACATTTTTTGACAGTTCGACGAAAAAATTTGTAAGTGTGTGGGTGAGATGACTAAAAAGTTGTGAATGTGTTTGTAAATCGTTTGAATTTTAGGGGAAAGTGGTGAGCCGTGGCTGGCAGGGTGCTCAGCCATGGCTTGCAGGGGCTTAGCTACGTATAACCTTTGTTAACCAAAAATTAATGAGTCTTTTTACTTGTGATTTATTTAAATAAAACATGTTAACTTCAGTTGAAATATTTTAGCCGTTTTCAGTCTTTTTTTTGCCAATCTATCCGGTCGGCCCAAAAAGTTCTGGCAATAGTCAACGATAGCCAGAGTGCAAACATTTTAATATCGTTATCGTTCGCGCACAAAATACATTGATGTGCGCAATCATCCGGTACGAGTCCGGACTAGTCAGAATTAGGCAGATTTTACTGGATCCCGTACTCGGTTCCCTGACAATTGAGATGACAAAAAAGGGAGTAAATAAGGTCCTCTCTGTCAGAAGTTACGAGTTTTAGTACGAAGATTTTTTGCTGGAAAATGTCAAACGATCAGCTGTAGTGTGTTTGACAACCAAATTGTAAACAAACCAAGTAAGAAAGTATTAGTTCGGGCGGAGCCGAACATTAAATACCAGGCGCAAGTATTAAATATATGATTTTCACCTTTCCGAAAGCTACCGCTACATGGTAAGCCGGGGTGTATCAATTTTGAGTAAATTAGCGTCCTTAAATTTCGAAACATTGAAGTTTATATGAAAATCGGCCTCAATTTTAGTCCGATTTCAATAATTTTGAACGTTTTGCTTTTATGTGGCAAGCACAATAACCGTATCGAGTTTGGTAGAAATTGGTAAAACGGTTACCGAGATATATATGTGGGATCATAAGCGGGCGGTGCCACGCCCATTTCCCAAAATTTTACCATAAACGTTTTTCTTGGTAAAGAATTGTTGCAAGCACCAATTTTGAATAAATTAGCTTTAATATTTACCGATTTATCGAAGATTTCGTATTTCTTCGAATTACCGTTATATGGGATGTGGGCGTGGTTATTGTCCGATTTTAAAAATTTTCGGCCGTTTGGTATGCTGTAGCGGGGCTAATAACTGTGCCGAGTTTGGAATAAATTGGTGTAGCGGTTACTAAGATATATAGATGTAACCGTAAGTGGGCGTGGCTACGCCCATTTACCAAAAATTTATAATGTTCTTATTTTTCGTCTAAAAGGTTATTGTAAATATCAATTTTGAGTGAATAATCTTTAGTAGTTACTAAAATATCTCAGTTTTCGTAATTCTGAAAATTACCGTTATATGGGAGGTAGGCGTGATTATTGTCCGATTTAGCCCATTTTCAATACCATCCGTCCTACGCCCGAAAGAAGTTGTTAGGATGATCGCAGATAATATTAAACAAAACAATTGTTTACCGGTTGGCAGTTCGCAGAAAAAAGGAAGGAAAAATTTATTCAATTGACATTGTATTGACATAACGTGTTACAATTCATAGTGCACTAAGTGCGACAATTCATAGTGAAGTAAGTGCGACAACTCGGTGTTGCATTTAGTGCAATATCCTCCCTGAATTAATTTTTCTGAGTTAACTTATTAAATACCGTTACTATTATTTTATGATATATCTACTAGTTCAAATTTCTAAAGGATGTGGCAGAATGACCAAAGTTGATGCTTTAATCGTGCATGCCAAATTTCTTTAAAAAGGTGAACAACTTTGCTTTAGTTACAGGCTTAGTTAAAATATCAGCTGGCATGCTATCAGTTGGCACTTGATATATGTTTACATATTTTTCTTTGGCTGATTGTACAATATATTTTGTCTTAATATCAATATGTTTAGTTCTTGGAGAGTAGTTATTATTTAATGCTAGGTCTATCGCCCCCCGGTTATCACAAAAGATTGCGATTGTCTCTGATGCTTTTGGAATTAATTCAGCTCTGAGGCCTTTTAACCATGTTGCCTCCTGTATGGCTTCGGTCATAGTAGCCATAAATTCCGCTTCCGTTGTAGATAACGCAACTGTTTGCTGCCTCCTCGTACGCCAAGAAATCGCTCCTCCCTGCATAAGAAATACATATCCAGTGGTTGAATTTCGTTTGTCGAGATCGTTTGCCCAGTCTGAATCGCTAAAACCAATCAGGTCGGTAGATGCCTTCATGTATGTGATTCCTCTATTTAATGTTCCGTTCAAAAACCGAAAAACACGTTTCAAGGCAGCCCAATGGGCTTTGCCCGGATTCTCAGAGTACCTGCTAAGTAAATTAATGGCATAACTAATATCTGGTCGTGTTACCTGCGCAGCAAACTGTAAGGTACAAATCGCCTCTCAATATGGTACAGATCGCATTTCATACCGTTCCTCATTAGTTTTTGGACACATATCTTCACTTATTTTTTTATTTATGTCTAGAGGGGTTGTTGTTGGGTTCGCGGTGCTCATACCAAATCGATCAATTATTTCTCGGATATATTGCGACTGATCGATGGTAATGGATTCATTTGATTTATCACTTGTGATTCTAATCCCTAAAATAGATGACGCCTCGCCGAGATCTTTTATCTTGAAATGTTTCTTTAGTTCATTTTTTAATCGCCGCTCCTGATCTGAGTTATTTGCCAAAACAAGCAGATCATCAACGTACATCGCAACTATTAGTAAGTTATTGTCTGCTATCAAATACGTTATACCGTCTGTTAATGCCACGTTCCACAAGCGGCTGGACTGCTTTAATCCGCATATTGATTTGATAAGTCGACAATACCGACTTGAACCGTCGTCAAAAAGCTCTGGTTGTTCCATGAAAATCTCGGTATCCAGTTTCCCATGCAAAAATGCAGTCACTACATCCATCTGCGTAATTTTCAAATCAAATTGTACTGCCATTGCCAAAAGAAATCGAATCGACGTATATCGAACTACGGGTGAGAATGTTTCGTTATAGTCTATGCCAGCGACTTGCGTGAATACCTTCGCAACTAGCCTGGCTTTAAACCTTACAGCATCTCCATCACTGTTACGCTTGGTTTTAAGCACCCACTTGCACTTCACAGG